GACGAGGGGGGGGGGGGGGAGGTTCGCTCCTTCGAACTGGACGACGTACGGCTCCGAAGAGAGTAGGGTCGGGGAGTACTCGGCCCACCTGGGAGATATGGGGAGATATGGGGAGATATGGGGAGATATGGGGAGATATGGGGAGATATGGGGAGTACTCGGCCCACCTAGGAGAGGGTGCGGGAGAGGTCTAGGAAAGGTCTAGGAAAGGTCTAGGAGTACTCGGCCCACCTAGGAGAGGGTGCGGGAGAGGTCTAGGAAAGGCCCTCGAGAGAGGAGCGTCGGAGAGTACGTACTCGGCCCCCACCCAGCCGCGATGCTCGCAAAGTTGCTCCGCAGCCTAACGATGCGAGCACACCAGACTCGGGGCGGGGAGACGGCGCTCCGTGCACCGCAGTGAAGACGAGGCTGCGAGCGGCGAATGACGCGGAAGGCAGGAGAAGGCAGGAGAAGGCAGGAGAAGGCAGGAGAAGGCAGGAGAAGGCAGGAGAAGGCAGCCCAACCCGCGTCCTCTCGAGCGCCACGCGGGTCTGTCTTCCGCCATCCAGGCCTCGAGGCGTGGGGAGATCTGGGGAGATCTGGGGAGACCGGTCGTCCGTCATCTAGGAGCAGCAGCCCGCCCGGCGCATGCACGGCGGGCTCCTTGTTGCGCCTCGCGCAAGCCTTGCCCTTGCTGTCGCAGCGGCCGCACGCGGCGGAGCAGGAGGAGAGCCTGGGAGAGGCGGCGGAGAGATGGCGGAGGTTTGGCGGAGCAGGAGGAGAGTCTGGGAGGACAGAGATGGGAGAGAGGGGGAGAGATGGGGAGAGATGGGGAGAGATGGGGAGAGATGGGGAGAGATGGGGAGAGATGGGGAGAGATGGGGAGAGATGGGGAGATAGAGCTAGGGGAGAGCCTGGGAAGCGCAGGACGCAGCGAGTGCAGCTGAGTGCCGTACGATACTGGGGAGAGATGGGGAGAGGTGGGGAGAGAGGGGGAGAGGTGGGGAGAGGTGGGAGAGATGGGAGAGAG